GACTTGAAAGCAGTCCAAGGGTCCATCAGCAGATGATTTGATTTAAAAAATCTGTGGTACATTTACACAATGGAATACTACTCAACTGTAAAAAGAAGAAAAGTTTACCCTTTGCCACAGATGGATGGATCTAGAAAGCACTATACTAAGTGAAATAAACCAGTCATAAAAAGACAAATACCATATGATTTCACTCATAAGTGGAATCTAGTGAACAAAATTAACTAAAAAGCAAAGTAGAAAGAGACTCATAGCAGGCTGACAGCTGTTGGTGGGGGCGTTGTGTGGCTTGGGGGCTGGGTGGTGGGGGTGGAAGGTTTGAGCAAAAAAGAGAAAAAAGTCATGGGCACGGATAGCAGTGTGGTAACTGCCAGGAGGAGAGAGGGTGGGGGGAGGTGGAGGAGCATACGGCGGGGCGGGGATAAATCGTGGTGGAGGGAGACTAGGCTTGTGGTGGTGAACATACAATACAGTGTACAGATGAGGTGTTGTGGAATTATGCACCTGAAACCTATATAACTTTGTTTATCAGTGTCACCCCAATAAATTGAATAAAAACGGAAAAAATAAAAAATAATAAAAATTAAAAAACAAATGACCATATGCCAAACGAGGACAGCTAAGTACAACCACATTTAAAGAATTTTTCAAATAAAAAAAGTTATTATGATTGTTATTATTAGTTTTATTTTTTTAATTTTTTAAATTTATTTTTTTTTATTGTTCAAGTACAGTTTTTGTTTTCCTGCCACCACTTTCCCCTGCCCCACTCCCATACATCCCTCCCTCAATCTCTCCCCACTTTGGCTTTGTCCATTATCCGTGTTCCTTTATACGTGTTCCTACATGTTCCTTGACTTGACTCTTCCTCTTCTTTTCTCCATTACCCTCTTCCCTACTTCCCTCTGGTTACTGTCAGTTTGTTTTTTCTTTCAATGTTGCTGGTCATATTTTTCTTGTTTGTTTTGTTAATTAGGTTCCACTTATAGGTGAGATCATATAATATTTGTCTTTCACCACCTAGCTTATTTCACTTAGCATAATACTCTCCAGTTTTAATTGTAATGACTCTAATAATAATATTAACCAAATGTACTATCACCAAGGCAGTTAATCTAGAAACTCTGCATTTCATCTCAGTTTCTCAGTTGAACGCTTTCTACATACACAGAACTGAGAAACAGACTCATCAGGCTTGTGATTGGAATTTTTAAAAATTCTCCTCAAGAATGGCAAAAACAAATTACATGAAAAAATATGTAGTGGTTGGTAGCATTTAAACATGGCTTCTAAAAGTTAATATAAAAAATAAATGCTTTAATATAAAAGTTAGGTAAATAATTTTTTCTGAAAGAGAATAATAAACATATGGAAAGAATTATAAGGAAAGGTACATTAAGCTAAAAGTGTATTAAGTTTAAGAGAAAAAAGGCACATAATATTTTTTCAGGAGAAAGCTAAACATTTCCTGTTCTGCTTTGTCTCTGTGCTACCTATTAACATGGTACTGCTATCTGTGGTATTGGATCTTATTTGCTTTGTTTTGCCCAATTATGAAGGCTCAAATCATTTGAGTGGAGAAAAATCACAACTGTACAATTGCTTGCTATTAAATAGATTAAACAGTTTGTTCACTGGTGTTTTACTTAGGGAGTATATTTTGAAGAGTGAAGCTCAATTTTTACATAAAAAATTAAGACAAACACATTGGGTTATATACATTTCTTCTGTTACTAAAATGTTGTACATTTTATCACCTCATTTCTTGCTCTTTTGGTTTTGAGTGGTTATAAATATCCCACACTTATATCTATAGCCTCAAAATTTTTTCTCTATATTAAATAAATCTGATAATTATGAATTCTTGACTCCCATATAACCATCTATATACAGCCCTATGTCATATGTCTATGTCATTAAAAATACAATAACTTGGAAAACCAAGAAAAATTTCTCTAATACCCTCTACTACACAATTAGTATGTGCTTTCCAGACTGAGGGGGGATGTTCTATTTATAACTCTCTTTTGTTTCCTTCCATGTGGCCAAGTTTCCACTTATTACATGTCTGCTTGTCTTAATATTAACATCTAGTTCAGAGCACTGTAAACTGCTTCTCAACCCCTAAATTAAAGCAAATGATATCCACTCCACATCTTACACCAGTTTTACTAGAAGCCACTTCAAAGATTCCATTTTTAAAAAATGAGGTATGGCCACTGCTTCCTGAATCCAAGGTTAGCCCTGCTCATAATGAAGTGAAACTTTCTCTGATTTCCCTTCTATTTAAGCACTGACAGTTTTTTCCAAGATGCTTTTTCTCCTCCACTAAAAGTAAACCCGCTTATTTTGCTGTCATTGTTGCTGTTTGTGGGAGGGGATGGGAGACGAGAAAAGTACTCTGCCTTACTAGGCGTTGCTTGGGACCAGGACACGTGTGTATGTGCAATGACATTCCAGGACCACGTGTGGCTATCTTTATCAACATAAAGATTGTTTCCTCTACACACAGTTTCAAAGAGAAGAGCAGTTGTGTTTCTTTTTTATGTTGTTACTCATTTATCAAACTATGTGAAAGTGGATGGCAGAAAGGGAAAAAAAATCCTCTACACTCTAAGTTTTAGCTTTTTCATTGGTCTCTACTTTTTGACCACTTCCTCAGTCTCTCACTTATACTGGGCCCTCTGGCTTCACATCATGCTGCTTATTACACAAGCCACTGTTACCTACTTCACCTATTTCCACTGTGAATATAACCTAAGCTCTGGGACAATGCAGCAGCCTCCCTCCTGCCCTCCATATATTCAGTGAGCTCATAGCAAAGGAAGGGAAAATAGGTACAGATGCTCATAGTCATTCTTCCCACGAACTACCACAGGAACTGTTGAGAAGGAGAATATCCATACCAGACATGCATATCCCGACACACCACAGCTGGGCTTAAACTGAAGATGAGTTACTTCTGAAAAGGTTCTTTGTACCTTAAGGCACTACTAACCCCCAGCCTTTTCAAAGCAATTTATCTTCTTGGGTCTTTCAAATTCTGTAGGCAATAGGAACCTGAACCCTAAGCCCACACGAGGTTGGACCAAAAGTTATGGCAGACCAAGGGAGACTGTATTTCTCCTCCAAATCTGAGGCTAGGCCATGAAAATGAATGTGCTTGCCTTCGCCCTTTGTGAGATGCAATTATTGCTGGGTCTCCCTTTGACTGAAGGTGTAGTGTCTTGGGGGATCTCAGCCATATATAGGTTCTTGCCCATGTTCCCCAACTAACTTGGGTCCCAGGTTGTTCTGTGCTCCTGTGTACGGCTGTTACAAGATGGTCAGATGCCCTAGGATTTCAGTTCTCATCTCTCTGGAAATAGAGACTATGCAATTCAACTAATTCAGCAAATGTTATTAAAGCTTAATATCTCTTATGAATGTACTGGTCTTCTTTCAGTTCCTAGGACAAGATCCTCCCCTCTCTCAAGGCCCTTTCCCCAAGGGGTGTTTCATCTGCTTGAAGTATTCTTTTCATAGACTGGTGCACATGTGTGCATACACACGCACACACCCCATATTGGGGTGAGTTCCTTCTCATTCTTTAGATCTGATTTCAAACAGTACATCAGATGGGCCTTCTCGAACTGTTAAAATCACAGTGTGGTTTCAGCAATACCTTGCACTTGGGAAATTTCAAGAGGCAGACTGTCCAGAATCAGAAGTTTGGGTTCCCGGATTTTGCGCTGTTTCCCAAAGAACTAAACTATCATTCATTGTATTATAATACAGACATAAAATATTATTCAATGTATTGCCATATGGAGACTATAGTCATACAGAGAAATGAGAGAGAGAGAGAGAGAGAGAGAGACAGAGAAAGGCAGAGACACACTGAGACACAGCTCTTCAGGAACTTAGGAACTTGCTGGTTAGGAACACTTAATAAGTTACAGTTGCAGCTGAACACAAAATCCTGAAGTGATGCCTAGTTCTCTATTGTTTTAGAAACTGAAATACCTAGGGAAAGAAAATCGTAAAAATTCCCACGTCCAAAAGTCCATGGGATATGATTTTCTCTACTAATTCAATACAATGTTCCTTGTCTGCTTCCAGAGGATGAATAAGGATTTGTGCACATATGTTACAAAGTCAAAATAAGCCCTTATGGGGCTTGATCTTCACATTGTTTTTTAACTCCTGCCAAGCAACTGTACACTTTAGGACTGTGACATTAAGCCTTACATACTGATTTTCAGCTTCAACAAAATGCTTTCATAGAATCTTATCTTTAGTCATCTAAATCTTCTGTTCTAAGGACATCAAATGAATCTATTTTTAGCTGAGTTTAAGAGACTGACACTAATTTTAAAACAATGCCCTTAAAATGCTATTTATATCTATTCTTTTAAATATATTAAAAAATAACTGAGTTATCATTAGAATTTAATAAACACTTTTAATCCTCCAACTTTCTAGATCTACTCATTTTGATCATCTAACAGATATACATGATAAAAACCAGGGTTCTTTCAAAAGTATGCTTGCCAACATCAAAAAAATACCTTAAACAAAATATTCTATGTTTCAGCACTGCATCTTCTCATCATCAATCACCAAATTATCAAAAAGAATATTAGTTACATGATTACAACAGCACACTCTACTTTGTGCTTTGTACTCCTCAAAATGCTATCATATTTCAACCTATTATATTTTATGGCCAAATGCACATGGGAGCTGAAAAAAGCAGACACAGCTTTAAGAGGATTAATACCTTAAGAGGAACAAATTCAGGAATTTTATCGAATCAAATTAACAGTAGTAAGAGACATCATTATCCTCAAAAAACATGTACAATTGACAAATACCTCCTGAGTGCTTATCACGTACCAGGCACTGTTGAAACATGATATCCATAGGAATTTAAAAATGTTATTTCACTGAAGCTCATAACATGTTTATATTATAAATAAAGATACACACCTTACATACATACAAATAATACTAAATACCTGAAGGGCCGTAAGGATATTGGCTAAGGCTTGTCCATATGTGTCATGGCAGTGAACGGCAAGAACACTGGGCGGGATTTCCTTCATGACACTTTCCAGCATTCTCTTCATGCTTCCTGGAGTTCCTACTCCAATTGTGTCTCCCAGAGAGATCTCATAACAGCCCATGCCATACAATCTCTTAGATACCTGTTGAGACAGGTGAAGAGCTTATAAAACAATGGAAATAAATAGACTCAAACCCTGCTGTTCCTCAGCGAACATCATCTAGAGGTAAAAATCACAACTAAGATGAGGACATATCCATGGAAAACATTTTAGTTTTCTGTCCCAGTTACATGCTCATTAAATCCTGAGCATTATACAAAGCCCTGAAAGACAAGACTGTGATTATCATTTCTTAATATTTGAGTTTTCTTTAGAGTCTTCTGTTGATTTTCATGTTTAATTACAAATTATAAATTACAATTTTAACTATTGGTAGACTTACTTTTCTCAGCTCTTTAATCAAACAGAAGCATTACAAATTTACTTTGGAAGTAGCATTTCTCAAGGCATTATATTAGAGGTCAAAAATTATCAATACCAGCTTCAGCTCCATCACTCAGTAGCTTTGTAATTGGTAGAGTAACTAAAGATTTCTGACTTAATTTTTCTTGCTCATATATGGATGATCTTTCATTTTTCGACTCAAGTGATAAGTAGTGATATCATAAAGAGATGTATTGCAAGGTCCCTTCAAGCTGAATAACTGAGGCTACTTTGAAGAACAATAAGAATTTGCATGAAGGCAGCATTGTATATTGACAAAGACATGGGTTCTGGAGTCAGACAGGCCTGGATTTAACCTCAGCTGTCACCCATGTTAGTCATGTGATACTGGGCAGAAAATGAACCTTTTCAAACTTCAGTCCCTAGTCTCAAAAAAACTGATGACAAAATATCCTTATTTAGCATATTTTCTAATCCTTATTTTAATTTTTAAGAATTGCAATCATAATGATGTCAGTTATGACATACTTGGCAATGAAATGAAAGGAGAATATATATAAATCACTTTGTACAAAATCTGGCACAGGGTCACTCATTAACTCATTTATTATATATTTCTTCAATGCCATTTCATGCCAGGCACTGTGCTAGGTGCTGGTATATAATGGGGAGACAAATCTGGAGATGGCTCAAGCTGTTAGAAAGCCTAGAGTCAAACTAAGACAGACCTTAATCAATTCCATTTGGAAATGTGTAATTACCCCTAAAATAGAAACTGTTAAACAAAGAAACAGAATTCTAAGAGCACTGTGGTAAAGGAAATCGACCTAGATCTTGTCAAGCAGCAAGGGCCCAAGTTGACAGCTTACAAAAAACTAAGCATTAACTTGTAGAAGAGACTGAGAAAAAAGTGTATGAGAAGAATATTCCAGGAAGAATATCAAATGCAGAGGTGAGTGTGTTCTAGGCAGCTGAAATTTAAAAGAAAAAAATGCAAAGAGCATTCCAGGCAGGAAAAAACTCAAATGTAAAGGCAATGTGACAAGAAAGCAAAATCCAAAGGGAAGCTACATGAGGTAGGCATGAGGAAGACCATACAGAGCCTTGTAAATAAGTTTAGAGTTTTTGTTGAGGATTCTATCAGGAGAGCAATAGAAAGGCATGACAGAATTTGGGGTAGTAGTGATATAATGAGATTTGTTTTTCAGAAAGGTGATATCAATAGCGATATAAAAAAAAAACTCCAGAATATAGGGTACTCAGAAGAGCTTCCTAGTCCAGGTAGCAGACTATTACTGAATGGAAATTTGGATTAAAAAATCATACTGCTCAGCCTCACTAATGCCTATTAATTGCCAGAATTTCATAACGGCCAGAGAGAGGAGAATGAGGCTTCAAAGGAAAGTCTTAAGTGTAGTGTCAAGGGAATACAAGGGATACAAGTGTTGCAGAAAGGAGGGAATGGTCAGTTCACTAGTCCAAAAAATCTACTGAGAAGTCAAGATGAGGACAAAAGATACTTTTACATTTCTTGGTGCCAAGTGCAAAATAGTAATCTTATAAACGGGGATTTCAGTGAAGTGATGGTCTAGAAGTCAACTTGGGGTATGACGAAGAGTTGGTGGCACACAAGGAAATGGATACCACTACTGTAGACAGCTTTTTGAAGAAGTTTAGATGTAGAAGGATGGAGACAGTGAATAACTAGATAAGGATGCTGAATTAAGAAAGTTTTCAGCCCTGGCTGGTGTGGTGCAGTGAACTAAGTGCTGGCCTATAAACCAAAAGGTTGCAGGTTTGATTCCCAGTCGTGGCACATGCCTGGGTTGCAGGCCAGGTCCCCAGTTGGGGACACAAGAGGCAACTGACCAATGCTTTTCTCCCTCTCTCCTTTCCTTCCTCTCTCTCTAAGAAATAAATAAAACCTTTTAAAAAAAAGAAAGCCTTCAGATGGAAGAAGCTTGGACATGTTCGACTGTCCACATAAGGAGTCTAAGCAGTTGAATATGCAGGGGAATAAATAAAGGGAAGGACTAGAGGCTTGGAAGACTAGAGAGTGAACACAAATTGCATTAGTCATTTCCGAAAGTAAGAGAGCGAGTTGGCTACAAATACATTAAAATAGCTCAGAAGGCCCATTAAAGGTTGCTGGCGATGAATTCCTAATGTTTCTAATCTGCCTGTTACATAATTCTTTTCAGCAACTGCCCAGCATTCTGATGCAGGAGCAGAGAGCCTGAGGGTACGTGTGGTCTATCCAGAGATGGAATAAAGCAAAGACACAAGAGCAAGAGGTTTGCTGTATAAGCAGAGTTGGATCCAAATTTTGTGGAGTCTGAATTCATACCATTTTGGAAGTGTTCTTTAAGGAAAAAAATACATAATTGTGAATATAAACTAATAACAGAGTTTTGGAAGTATCCCATGCAACCCAAGGACTGCAACATGTAAGCTTCATTATTTTATAGTATATCTGTCTCTGTGTGCAAAGGTCTTGCTTAACTAATGGGCCACGGGCTGTCACTAATTTAAAAAATCTGTAGCAAATTTCAAAAGCTCAAATGAATGCACAAAAATAGGACTGGCTTTAGTCAAACCGGAAATGTATTCAGCCTAAATTTTTATTTCTAATAATGCCATCTTCAATGCTTCAGCACCACATTAGTACATTTATGAACATTAACACCCTAACACCAGGTGCACATGACTAAACTAATGAGCTAGTTTAATATAATCTCAAAGAATGAGCATTTTGCATTCCTTGGTATCAGTTACTAAACAGGATCAATAAGTAAAAAATGAACTTCAATAATGGTCCTTAATGACTAATCTATTGCTGTAAACTTGTTCTGTAATAGCAACTTGTATCTCAGCAGTAAGAGCTATAGAATCCCAAAGGAACAAAATGCTGAAGCAATGTATTTCCTCTGATACACGTGCCAAAAATACGCAAGAGAAAAACAAATGGATGCTACCTGAGCAACCAAGGCAAAGGTGGAGAGACTGTGCACAAACTGTCAGGAGAGGCTAGAAAGGTCACTCACATAAAAACAAAGCAGATATTGTGGTTCCCTTAAGCTTTGAGCACCCAGAAGATAAAACACAAATGTTATTTAATTTTGAACAGCTATAGGCAATAAAATATAGGTCTTCAGTGTTAAAACGAAACTGTTAGTTAAGCTGTCACACATGTCTCCCACTCCATGGTTCCCCTTAGTCTTTATTATGCAGATGAACTAAATAGTAAGGAAAATAGGCCAATATTATATGTCATTTTACCAGGAACCAGAAGACCAGAGGCATATCTTACTTCTGTCACTTTTTGTGGGGTGATGCTCCCTTCATATGGACAGCCCAGGGCACACGACACATACCTAAATTTAAAATGCAGAACCATATAAATATAAGTATGGTAGATAAGTCACTTCCTAATTTCCATTTTATAAAAATGAGCAAAGAGCCAAAAATGCATCAAAAAATATTTTGCACCATTCCTTCATTACTATTTTATGCTTAGACCAAACAAAAGCAATTTCGGAACATTTTCAATTTAATTCACATGTGTATGTTTCTAATAATTACAATTTGATATGAGTTATTTGATGGCAGATGGAATAAGATAAAAGGGTTTATCTGGTGGGGCTGTTTATACCATAGCAACATGTGAACATTCAAAGCAGAAAATAGCAGTGAAATAAATAGTTTGATTTAAACAAGTACATACATTCGACTATCCAGGTTTTTGGAACCATATAGAAACAGCATGGAGATGACTAACTGGATTTCTCTCTTCACTCCCATCTGGATGTCTTGGACTCATTTGGATAGTCATTAATCACCCCAAGACTCCTAGAGCTGGCCACAACCTCAAAGTTCATCTTGTTCTCTCTCGTGGGTATACCTAAATCATCCCAAACAGAAGAGTGTCTAGTCTGCTTTTAAAAGGCTCCAAATAAAGATATTCTTTAAGCTTCTTCAACAATTTAATGTAAAAAGTCAAGCCTTTCCTGCAAGGACAACGATACATTTCCATCTTAAAGTATTAAGCTTTACAAAAAGTCTGTTTTAGCTATTTTCAGCTCAACACCAATCCCATTTTATTAAACTTCCCTCAGAGGCTTTACAACACTTGTATTAAAATAATGCATCATGCATCTGATTGTCAGGGATGAAGCAATACACAGGAGGGAGAGAGGGGTGGTGGGAAGCGAGGATGGAGATCCGGTTGTTTGGGCCCAAATATGAAAGGCTTTAGATAGCATGGCCCGTGAGTGCCATGCCAAGGAGTCTGAACTTTAGGATCACTCAAAATCACTGTGAGGCATTCGCAGTTATTAGGTTAGGTACTGACAAGATCAGATTTGTTTTCCAGAAACATACGTTCTTGGGAACTCTGGAAGTGGTTGTCAGAGGAAAGGTGGAGGCGAAAACAGGAGAGAACACAATGCCATATTTCCTCGATTCTAAAATGCTGTTGAATTTCACAACAGGTTTTGGAGTAAGAAAACATACTATATATTAAATGATTTAATACATATCTATTGATTCTAAAGACGTAACCTAACTTCAGAAGTATGAAAATGTGAATAAATGTGTGTTTTGACATGAAATAAACAGTTCCATAAGCCAGACAAGCAGTTATGATGACAGGAAAGGGGAAAAAGGCAAATTCAAATAAAAGTCGAAAGTGATGCTAGACAGGAAACCCATCTCTCTGCTTTTCCAATTACTATAAACAAAGTTTATTCTTTAAATAAGCTACATATTTAATCACAATGTGTGAAAAATGTTCTTGTGCAAAGATAACATGGGAGAAGGTTGCTAAGGATGAAAAAGTGTAAATACTTTCAATTCAGATATAATGATTATAGATAATGCATTTGGAAATACAAGAATATTGATTCTGAATCCAAAATATCTAGACGTTATTAAATAGAAAATCCAAGCCATCCATGTATATGCTGTTCTTCTAAATGTGAAAAAGAAAAAAAGAAACAAATGCAAAATAACATGGAACAAACCTTTCCTGTATTTTTATTACGTGGCCACAGCTACCACTTTATGCCATAATCCTAAATCTCTGAGTACCTATTCTTTTTGGTGTTATTTTTATTGTCGACACTATTGCAGATGTCCCCATTTCCCTTCATTTGTCCAGCTCTATGCAGGCCCTGCTCCTCCTTCCCTCTGGCCATCACCACACTGTGGTCTGTGTCTACAGGTGATGTATATACGTTCTTTGGCTAATCCCTTCTCCATCTTTCATCTAGTCCCTCCTACCCATCTCTCTTAAAGCTATCAGTCTGTTCCTTGTTTCTGTGCCCCTGATTCTATTTTGCTTGCTAGTTTATTTTGTTCCTTAGATTCCAGCTAAAGTGAGATCACATGGTATTTGTCTTTCATTGCTTGGCTTAGTTCACTTAGCATAATAGTCTCCAGTTCCATCCATGCTGTTGCGAAAGATAAGAATCCCCTCTTTTTTAATGCTGCATAATATTCCATCATGTAAATGTACCACAGGTTTTTTATCCACTCTTCTGCTGGTGGGCACTTGGACTGTTTCTAGATCTTAGCTATTGTAAATAATGTTGCTATGAATATAGGGGTAGCTACATTCTTTTGAATTGGTGTTTTGGATTTCTAAGGATATATTCTAAGAAGTGGAATCACTGGGTCAAAAGGCAGTTCCACTTTTAATGTTCTGAGAAATCTCCATACTATTTTCTGCTGTGGCTGTAACAGTCTGCATTCCCACCAATAATGCACTAGGGTTCCCCTTTCTCTCATTCACTCAAGTTTTTCTGCGAGTCCTTTCCAGGCCTACAGTTTGCCTAGTCTTCGCAATCTACTGTATTTCATCTTACTGTGCTCTCTATCCTTGTAAACTGAGTAGTCATTTCTTTAACCTATTCACACATGGGGCTACTTTCTCCAAAGTGAATGTGATGGTTCTCAACTGTATTTTAACACTCTAAAAACAGAGGTCCACAAACTAAGGTGCACAGGCCAAATCGTTCTCATCACTCTTTGGCAAATAAAATTTTATTGGAACAAAGCTATGCTCATCTGTTTAGCTATTATCAATGTCTACTTTTGTACTATAACAGCAGAATTCAATAGTTGAAACAGAGGCCATCTGCACCACAAAACCTAAACTACTCCTCTCTGGCCTTTTCAGAAAAATCTTGCCAACCACTTGTAAAAAGTAAGGCATTTTCATGTGTGAAAAGACCTCCATCATGATGAAAATATGCTACATCGTCTGCTTTGACTAGTGGCTAACATCAATTTCTCAACTTCTGCTTTTCTCCAATAATCTGTTACAGCAGTCCTCAAACTCAGCTGTACAGAATCACCAAGGAAGTTAAAAATACAAAACAAAGCCCTGATAGTTAGGATATCCTCCCAACTAGTTGAATCAGAAACTTAGAAAATGGAACCCAACCATTAATATTTTAAAATAAATTTTAAAGTTCCATTATTCTGTCAAATTGAAAACCACTCAGCTATCAGCAATCACCTGGAGTGCCTGATCGAGTCCCTGTGTGCGGTGAGTGTGCAGAAAGGGAAAAGGACCGATTGACATGGACAACAGAGGGGTGATTGCTGGGGAGAGGGGGCAGAAGGGGATTGCATGGTAAGGGAGAAAACACAATAAAGATTAAATTTAGAAAAACAAAGTGATATGAAGTAGCCTTGATAGTGTCTAATCTCAAGAATCACCTCACTACTATGCCACAGCATTTTTATCAGTCTTTGATCGACTGGTGGTTAAGTTTATAATTTTTACTGAGTGCATTGTCATGGTGATGTTAACGGCTATATGAGTTCTACAAGTCTTGTATTATTCAAATATCCCTATGAAGGAAACTTGACTTTCTTGCCCTTGCCCCTGAGGACTTTACCAGTCCCTAGACAAATTTCTACCTTAGTTTCTCAGTTGAGGTTCTACAATCCTCATATGTTACAAACCCGCAATCTATAACTATCAAGGCACAGTTTCCAGTGACTGCACTGGCAAAGAGGTGTTTTCAGGCTCCGTGAATACTGTTACAAATTCATGTTTTAGCAGAGCTTCTATCTTTTCTCATATAGACATTAAAATTCTATCCCAAGCCACTAGAGATCGATACCCCTATGTGCTAGTGGCATCAACCTGCACACTTATCCCATTTTGTTTGATAAACCTGGGGACTTTCTTTTCTTTTCTCAGTTTGGCTATATGTTTTAAAAGTTGATATACTTATGTGTTTCCAGTGGGAATAGAAAAGGGAGTCACTGCATCAGCTGAGTCCCCCATGAGTCTCTCTCCCTCACCACTATGCAGATAACTCCAGGAACAACTCCAAATCTCCTTGTGATTATTACAGATTGATTGTTTGACATATTCATATGTCATAGTAAGTTCAGTATGTCCAAAATGATGCTGATCTCTGTGTCCCCTACATTTTCCATTAAAAAAAAAATGAAAGCCATTCCAGAGTCTGTCCTGCTAAATCACTTTTGAGAACATATTCAAAGGTTGGCTAATTCTTCCCCTCCAACCTCTACAGCATGTGACTTCTGCTACTGACAGACCACATACACAGACTAGTCCCCAAGTACCCTCTGCAGGACAGTCATAGACATCTGTTACCTGCTATTCTTGCCTCTAGTCTCATGCCACTCATTTTTACTCTAATATCTATTGCCAAAATAGTATTCCTAAAGAACAGATCTCACTACATAGTTTTCTTTTTCTTGTTATCCTCACCTAAGGATATGTTTTGTTTTGTTTCATTTTTTTAGAGAGAGGAAGGAGAGAGAGAGAGAGCAAAACATAAATGTATGAGAAACATCAGTTGGTTTCCTCCCACACACACCCTGCCTGGGCATTGAACTCACAACCCAGGTATGGGTCCTGACCTGGAATTGAACCCACAATATTTTGGTATATGGGATGATGCACTAACCAACTGAGCCACCCGGCCAGGGTGATATTTTTCCACTTTGAAAGTTTTTTAATGAAAACTTTCCATTTTCTTGCCATTTTCTACCAAATAAACTTGGTATTCAAGTTTAGCAATTTGTGAAACCTCAACCTAACTTTCTACCTCTCTTTCACTACAGTCTCCAAAACTCCTATTCCAGTAAAAGTAAACTTCTTCCTGTTACCCAAACATTTCTTCAGATTTCTCTTCACTATGTCTTTGCTCTTTGTAGATTTTCTGCCCTGCCTGAAAAGGCCATTATTTCCAAGTATATTACATATATTTACTTAGATTTAATTACTCTATTGTATTAACTACTTCTCTATGAACTTTCTCCAAAAATTTAAGATAGCATTATTTTAACATCAATAGGATTTATCTGTATCTCCCTTAATGTACTTGGG